GAGTTTAGGGCACGTCTGGGTGTCGTAATAAGCCGGGTGGCAACAAGTGCTTCTGTGAGCTCTAGTCGTAGAACAGTCATCTTTTGTAGCGTTGCTACTCTCGATTTGGCTATCAGAAATAGAACCATTATGGCTAAACTGAAGACTCGTATCCGAAAATAGAACACGGCACCGTACGCAGCTGGGCTTGCATTGCTTAACACGTGCATGGCAACACGAAATTTGTTGTCCGGAAGAAATCGGCCCAAAAGTCTCTAAAATTCTAACTGACTCACTATTAGGAGGCCTTTCTTCCATGCTTTCCTCTCCTTTAGCATTGATTGGGGTAGGAGCGCATTCCAGGTGTAATTAGGTGGCCACAGGTTCTTTAATAATATCATCACCACCAGAATGAACTGCGCCAGAAATCTGAAAGAATCGTACGTGAATGAGACAAATCTTCAAATCTCTCACTTCGTAACTTTTGTCTCACCTATTAACTCAAGCATCTGTTTAGCGATGGCTCTGAAATGATTTTGTCGTTATCCCAAACAAGTTCAAGAATCTTTTTTTTTGTTTCCTACACCGATCTCTATGTTCAATTCTTCGCAGTTCTAATAGTTCCATAACTGTCAATCATTTGTCGTCCACGTTTCTCATCTCATCCCCGTCTCTTTCGAAACACTCAAGCAGTCGCTAAAAATTATTTACTGCTTCCTCTACGCTTTGTACTCTGATGACCAAATTATCAACGTAGAAGTGGTTTCCAGTAGTTTGGCAGACGTAGGGTATTGGCCTGCCACTGGTCGAAAGTGGTGTCACAGAGTTGCCGCAAGAAGGAATGGGTTATTGCAGGCACCAAAAGGAATCCTTGTCATGCGTAGTTTTTGAAGGTAGAAGAAGCTTCTTAAACCAAAAGAAACGAAATGCGTCTTAGTGTCGTTCGGCCAGTAGCACCTGAGGAAATGCTTTTTCGATGTCGGCAAAAAGTTCAATGTTGAAGCTGCGAAACTTCTGCATCAGGTCAAGAATGCTGGAGTTCGTATTGAGCCTTCTACATAAGACTTCGTTGAGAGAACGAATGCCTAGAGCGTGAGGCGCGGTGTCGAATACCAGCCATATATTTGTTGTAATTATGTCGCGTGTTACTACCGATCTGTGTGGCATGTAGCAGGTAACATGACCACGCCTACTGCTCATTGGAACCTTCTCAACGAAGGCGTTGTTGTTGTAGCTCTTTACCACAGCGTCATACTCCTCGTCCAGCTCTGACTTTCGACGCAGCTTTCTCTGTAGCGACTCAAACCTCTTTAAAGCGAAATCTCGGTTGTCTTTAAGCTAAGTATAACTGTTGCGCCAGGGAACCTTACCCTCGTAGCCTCTATTGGTTTTAACTGTTGATTTCACGAAGTTTTTCAAAAGTATTTGTCATCTTTCGAATGTATTTTTTTTTGTGTACTAGTCCCAGATGCTCCACTTCTCCAAAAGTTTTGAGTTGCTAGGAGACGTTGCCTTTCATTAGACATCACGTTGATGCATGGTCGTTACGGTGACTGGCTGAACGAGCATCGGGAAACTTCTGGTATTGACATGTAGTGTTCTCATCACGATGGTTTATTCGGCAGTGAATAAGTCGACAAATCATGCCACTGACGAGTTTCCAGAAATAGGCAGCTCCTTAAAGCACTCATATTTCAGGTTCAGGTGACACCTGGAATACAGTGACATCAGCCACGCGTAAATTCCAGTCCTTCATATTTAATGCAAATTTGCATCTGTTAATGCTGACAGGTTACTGCATAGTTTTAGCACTACTATAGCCTCAATTTCAATTCATTTTGAGTCTTACTGGCTATGCAGCATCGCTTTTTTGTCGTTTCTCTCTCTCTCTCGTACTCTTCAATAAAACTTCCGAGGTGTGAAAATATTTCCTAATGCAGAGATGGTAGCAGTTCCTCGGCTATTACAGTGGCTTTCAACCTTCTAGACAATATTTTTAGGCAGCTCCTTCTGGTCAGGGTGCGCTGCCTATAGGCACCGCACCTTCACCAGAGCTCCGACCAACTCGTTTGCTCTCTGTGAATCCTGGGAAGAAAACCAGACGTTTCAGGAGGTAATCTCAGATGTTCATGTTGAATTACCTCACATTACCACTCCCAGATGCCAACTACACTACGCGTATAAAGAACACCACGTGAGGAAGGTGCTATATACATAAAAAACGCACGTTTCTAACGCCTGAACAGTGTTGCCTTGGCGCGATTCAGCATCTTCACGTGGTTTTTACATTTGTCAGGAATTTGAAATAGTAGGGAACGTCTCAGACAAGTCATCTTTTCTGCAAGGCGAGTAGAGGTGGGTCAAGGTTGCGTTGCCTGTTCTTGAAGCAAGTGATGAGCAGTGTCTTTTTCTTAAGAGTTCAGCAAAATCCTTTCATTCGTTGAATGATTCAAGCCATGTTAGCGGAAGCTCTACAAAACTATTTGGTCTGTACCCTGGGCAACGGTTTGTATGAACAACCCGCTTATGCGCGGTGGTCTCTTCACACACGTTCCTTATAAGCAGATTTTCTATCGTATACTTATGTAGGGTGCCCAATAAGTGCCCACGGAAAGACCTTAGACAGCTTTAGCAACGCCGCTCTGCAGAACCTTTTATAAGGAAAGATCGCGTGATGTGACGTGCTGAAACGCATAAAAAAGATGGTAATTTCGTGTGGTATTAGTGCGTTTTTCTTTAAACTTCACACGGGAATTCGACCTGTGAAAACGAAACATGGCCTGAACTACGCTTGTGCCGTTGTAGTGAACAGTCTTTTGTGTAATAAACCAGAAACTGCAAAATATGTTTTCATTTACTGTTGGTATGCTGTCTTTTAAAGGACAGTCCTGCAGAGAAAAGAAGGAAGAAGCAGCCGATTAACGCCTGCAGTATTTGTTTTCTGACTGTTCGAGGAAATAGCATGGCATTTGGCATTTTCACATAGGTAGGTTTTTCGAGATAATTTTTCGGGACAGCGCATGAGCCCTGCCATGTTTGGTCACATGGCCATAACAAGCCTTCACCAGGCCAGTTGTCTCAACCAACACATTATGCCAGCGAAGCAGCCGTAAGTGCCAGTAAGAGGGGATAAAAGCCATCAGGGCAGCACCTATGTAGCGCGACCGCCCGCTTCGATCCGAACTCGTGCTTGTTATTCGCCCACCATATTCAGAGCAATAAATTTATGGTAAAATCAGCTATCGCTTCGAGTCATCTCACGTTGGAGACAAAGCATCAACTTTGTTCTGTCTTTATTTCTAAGATTCACACTTTTTATTTAGCCAAGCCTGCTAAGCCTTATCTGCGGAAATTGGAGAATGAATCGTCAAAACACGTCAAAATTTTGACGAGTGCATTTCGAAAATTCAAATTGTAAATGGAAAGCCAATAAATGAGTTCATTGCGAATTTCCAGGCAGCACAGGTCAGAAAGACGACGTTAAAATTTAGAGGCTGAGGGACACTGCATTTACAGGTGCTGCCATGTCGACTTTTCCATCGCTGCCATCTGCTCACTTTTACTCTCAAGTGCAGACTGTGTGGTAGGAATACTCCCAAGGTGCAATGGTGTCATATAGTTAAGATTGAACAACCCAGCTACGGAAAACATTCATTGCGTATTGAGGCCACGTACATGGTATGCTGATCCCAAAGCATGATTGGTTAACGCTCATTTTGTTGAGCAACTCACTAAGTTCGCAGAGGCTTTTGACCACTCAGGAACAAGCGATGGAACACTGCGTATAATAAATATATTATTATATATATATATATATATATATATATATATATTGTGCTCATTTTGTTTCTGTGCCATTTGCGTGATGAAACTACATCACTGAAGCCTTGCTGGACCCTGGCACAAAATACTTTCGTGTGAAAGGTGGTCGAATGATTGCGAATGTGTATTATGAAAGTCGTACGACTCTCTGTTTGAGTAGTAACTTAGAGTTTTTGTTTTCTTGAATGGATTTAAAGAACAGGTTTATTATGTACGGCACACTAAAATCAAGGTTCGCACCACGTAGTTTCCTCTAAAAATTCAGGCGATGGGGCACGCTCTTTACGATTTTATGTAATTCGGTTTCGTTGAGCTTAATGCTGCGGTGCGATTAGGTATTGAGCTTCAAGCTACGTCTAGAAAATAGTTCGTTTCATATGCACTAATCTGACCATTCTAACCCACTGTTTTCAATATGTTATCTTTGAATGGTCATGCATGATGTCTAAATATTGGACATAGCACGTCGGTTTTAGTCCATAATATTCACACATGCAATTCAAAATTGATCTTAAACTCGTCAAAATTTTCGGGCTGCCTATAAAAAAAAATCAAGCTTTCACCGTACGCTTGTCTTTGCATTTCAAGGTCCTGAATTGACACGTATCTTTGAAAAATAACAATTGTGTTGTAAAAAAAAAGATCGATCAAAATTCAAGGCAACGGAGAATGCAGGAGGCAGCGGAAACAACGGCAGCATTATTGGTACAGTCTTTCTGCACACGAAATAAAACGACTTCAGTGCTGAACAGTGCAAACGATACACCGCAGTGCTAAATAATGAGAAGCCACAGTATTCCAGTGATTTCCTCAGCGTAAAATCGAAGTCATATCGGGATGGTCTCAGTCGATACTTTCGCAAATATTGTAACGCTAAATTCTTTTTTTCTGAACTTTGTACGACGTGTGTTTTATTGTGTTACCAAACAATTCCTACGTGAATATGGTGGTTACAGCAAAGAAATCAATAAAAGTTTCTTCCCTCTCTTTTTTTTGTTTTACTGTAGCCATGGTATTGACGGCTTTTAGCGGTGACTTTTGCGTACGAGTATGGTGTTACTTGATAACATGAATGGAGACTTCTTATGTTGACAGTAGATGTAGTGTTGTTTTCTTCAAAAGCATCGAGAGCGCGGGCACTGTACTCATGTCATTTCAAAAGGGAGAATGTGTGTAATAACTGATCGGTCTCTGTGCAGACGACTACCTCGTGGGAAATGTAAACTCTTTCCTCATGGCTGGCACCTTCAGCACAACCACGGCAATGACGTGGCAGATGATAAATTTTGCGCAAAACCCGGATACCGTGCAAGCGCGGGTTCAGCGTGAAATAGATGATGTGATCGGGCAAGAACGCATACCTACGTGGGAGGACCGGAAGCGGATGCCCTACACGATGGCTTGCATCTGGGAACTGGAAAGATGGAAGACTGGTGCTCCTCTCGGCGTGGCAAGGGAGTAAGTTTGAACGCATACGAAAGCTTGTCGTGGTGTAACACCCTCCTTGAAATACCCGCACAAAAACATTGAAATCATAGGGAAAAAATCATAAAGCGATGAATGGCTCGTTTGTCCTGATTATTTTATCGGTGTTGCTAAGCCCCGTCATGGCACCCCGCCACGATGCTAAGCCCCCCCCCTCCTTACAGCGCTATAGTGATTATGACAATCGACTGTTTACCCGAAGGTCGAGAAATCAAATCCCGGCCAGGGCCGCGGTTTCATTTCATTCGATTTGAACATTAAAAAAACACTCTTCAATTACATGAAACGCATGGAACATGACACTGCAAGAATTTTACCCCTCAGTGGGGCACACATCATAGGCACGCACACTAGCCCGTCACTAAATCTCTAGCTGGAGCATTGGCGGTCCAGTTAAACGGGTGATTAAGAGTGACTGTATATGCTACCATTAGGTAGCCGAGTTGCGCCACTGTTTTCCGGGTGCAGCTCACCCGGCTTTCGATGATTCCAGCAACGCTATTGGTCACGCGCCATAACGAGGTCATATGTGATTCAAATGCACTGCGAAGAAGCCAACACTACGCAGGCGACGATGATGGTTTGCAGTGTTATGAGCATGCTGGCGCCCTTCGCACAGACACCGAGTACATCAATCACGGACACTGGCTGCATCCTTCACAGACTCTGGGCGTCCCACAGAGACGCTGGATTCTTCTCAATGGCGGTGCTGTTCCCTCTTCCTTCAGTGTCTCAGCTTCTAGGGGGCATCAGACCAACTTAGTTTTGCTCGTGCTTTCATAAAAGTAAAAAGAAAGCGAAAAACTAAATAAATCAACGCTATACTCGGCTACAACTTTCTGTGGCAGCACAGCCAAGGCTACGTAGTCCACGCACGCCCTTTTAGGGGCGAAGCTCCTTAAAGCTGCATCCATTTGTCTCTCGTAGTAGTAGTAGTAGTCGAGTGTGTAACCTGTCTTAGATTTTGACCTCAAAGGTGGGGCCGGTGGGAGAGTTCTTCTGTGCGTTGTTGAACAATAAAAAATTCGCAGCGTGCGCGTTACCTAAAAGCCGAAATCTCCTGTCTCTCATTACCCTTTAGCAGCCACTGGCAGGTACATTGAGCACTATCTGACAAGAAAGGGTTGCTACGTTATACTCGATAGATTTAACCTCCTAGGTTTTACAAAAGGTTTAGCGAGCGTTGGGTCGCAGTGCCATGAATACAGTGAAGTATTATATGAAATGAACTCGACGTGGTTAAAGTTGGGAAGTAGACACGAAGCGCAAGCCGAAAGAAAGTGTGCATGTGCCTGCTCTCGTTCAGTCCTTGAAATGTCCGCTGGATGGCGGTGCTTCTATATGGGGAATATATGATGAAAAGATGTGAGATGGTAGTACTTGGAGTGTTGAATAGGTGGACGAAGAGACACATAGACAGATGTATAGACTGGACGCACGAATGGCTGCATGGCCGGATGGCCGCATGGACGGACGCAGGAGCGGATGCACAGACGAACGCAGGGACGGTACGCACAGATGGACGGTGCGGACGCACGAACAGACGCACCCACGGATGGGCGGATGGACGCACGGGCGGCCACACAGACGCATGCACGGACGGACGGAAGCAAGAATGAATGGACGGACGGATGCTTCGTCCTACTCTCCTTCATTCACTTTGTGGTTATGCTGCTATTTTTTAACAATGTTTCTGCATATAGTCCACGAACGCTAACGTTTATATACTCTGTAGCGTAATAGAAAATACAAAAAAGTGGCAGATCCAACGTAAAGGGGGAATCAGTGGTATGCGAAGCACGAATGAGAAAGGTTGATATGTCACTTTAAAATCACGACAACGTTTCGAGGTAGAGGTAAATGATCCCGTACATGACTTCCCTTTCATGCTTAAGATGTTTAGATGCGTCATTTACTTTCGTCATCTATTCACGTCCCGTGATACTAAATTTAGTAAATGTTGAGCTGGCAAAACGACCACGAGCAGGCTACTAGCGTGGTATATTGTCACGTTCTTACATAACACGCGTGTAAAAATTAGCATGTTTGCACCAGTCATATATTTACGCCATTCCTTGACATCACGTAACACCAAGTTTGGTAGATGTGGAGCTATCAAAACGAACGCGAGCGCATCATGAAGGGCCCAAAATACTCCTATGTAGCATTGACGTGCGTGCACGCTGGGCACAGCGGCGCTACATTAGGAAAATGCGGTAACTCTATAGTCTGACGCCAGGCGCGACCGGCACTACCAGCGTCCGTAGGTGCGGCCCGACGGCAACCGGCGCGAAAGTCGTGCCGATGCGTTACCCAGGTCTCCCTCTTTTCGTGGCGGAGACACGCCGGACGCGCTGAAACGCGCATGCGTCAGAAAAACGCAGCGCGGCGCACACCTGCGAGTGTATTGCGAAACCGGCGCCTGGCGTCACAACGCCGGTGTGACTCGACGAAATGAACGCCGGCGAGCAGGCGCGTCGCCTCACGTCGAAATGTATTGGCGCCTTGATTGTGGCATGTATTCATGTGCTCACAAGACATGCATCTCATGATTATTATTTTTGCGCCAAACAGATACCTTCGTCATCCATTGACGTCACCTAATACCAAATTTTACATATGTGAAGCTAAACCAAAGGCCTCTAGTGCAGCATGAGTGTTGCTAGTAGTCACGTTGTTACATGACACGCATGTCATGATTATCATGTTTCGATGTGTCATAAACCTATTTCATCCATTCGCTTCGCGTAATACTGAGCTCGTACATGTGAAGCTAGCGAAACAGCCACGAGCGCGTCATGAGCGTAGCATGTAGTCATGTTGTTACATTACACGCATCGCATGTTTATCATGTTCGCACCAGTATCATACCTTTGTCATCTTTTCACGTCTCGTAATACAAATTTTGTATAAGTGAAGCTAGCGAAATGGCTGAAAGCGCATCAAGAGCGTGGCATGTGGTCATGTTGTTACATGACTTGCATTTCATGATTATAAGGTTTGCACCAGTCACATACCTTCGTCATCCATTCACGTACTGTAATACCACATTTGGTATATTGTGACGCTAGCAAACGGCCCCGAGCGCATCATGAGCGTGGCATGTAGTCATGTTGTTACATGACACACATGTCATATCTTTTACGTCAGGGTGTGTCGCCTGTGTTCTCCATGCAATCATGTCATATCAAAGCAGCGTTGAAACATGCCATGTGAATGAAACAGCTGCAGGACCATAAAATATAAATCATGACAATAATTGATATATTTGATTGATTGATATGTGCGGTTTAACGTCCCAAAACCACCATATGATTATGGGTGGCGCCGTAGTGGAGGGCTCCGGAAATTTCGACCACCTGGGGTTCTTTAACGTGCACCCAAATCTGAGCTAACGGGCCTACAACATTTCCGCCTCCATCGGAAATGCAACCGCCGCAGCCGGGATACGAACCCACGATCTGCGAGTCAGCAGCTAAGTACCCTAGCCACTAGACCACCGCGGCGGGGCAAAATCATGACAATCATGACATAATGTCATGATTTTCATGTCATGCCTTGTCAATTATGTTCTTCATACAATCATGTTATGCCATACCAAGTTGGTATCAATGCCAATATTGAAACGGCCAGGAGAGGTAAAAGTCGTAATCGGCTGGTTAGATAGATAGATAGATAGATAGATAGATAGATAGATAGATAGATAGATAGATAGATAATAGATAGATAGATAGATAGATAGATAGATAGATAGATTGACTCAAAGTCGCCGAAGTTAGCTAACAAATGCTTCGCATTTAAATGATCTATATGTTATGTTCGAGACTGCATTATTATTAGGAAGCATCCCCCGTAATGGTTTTTTGTTTCTGCTATTTCTAACTTTTTGGTTTTCTTGTACCATTTCACGTTTTCCCTGCACCAGTTAAAAACGATGGCGTCGCTCGATTGCAGCAAGTTTACATCGGAGCTTCTGAGGGAGCCTGAGTTCGTGTTCATATTAGGTCATCTTTATTCGTCGTGCAGGGAAACACCAAGAAAGTGGTGCGTTGTGAAATATTTTGTATCCCACACACGCAATCACCGAGAACTTGTGTGCGAGATCTACCATCATGAAAGGGCGTCTCTAATCGCTATAGCCACCTTGATAGTGATACCGACGACCTGCCGGTCTTCAGCAGCACCAGCTACTTGGAAGAGAAACCGCGATTCGAAACTGTACGTAAAACCAATAAAGGTTTTCCTAAATTGTGTTGCGTAATGGTCAATGATTTGGCTGATATTTATTGTTGATAAGACAACGCTGAAGATAGCGTCTCGTAAAACCCCTCCCGTCAGCATCTACTCAGGAATTTGTTCCTTGTGCTTTGCTTCGATAACAGACGCGTTCATGTACGTTACCCTGTTGACTGTGAAAAAAAAATGGCAGCATATCCACGGAGTGAATGATGGAGAGTGGGGCGAAGCATCCGTGTGTCCATTTGTTCATGCTTCCTTCTGTCCATGCGTGCGTCTATCTAGCCGCCCGTGCGTCCATCCGCCCGTCTATGCGTGCGTCTGTTCGTGCGTCCGCACGTCTATCTGTGCGTCCGTCCCTGTGTTCGTCCATGCATACGCTCCTGCGTCCGTCCTAGCGTCCATCCATCCGTGCAGCCATCCTTGGATCCGTCCATGCATCTGCCTGTGTGCCCGTTCGTTCACCTATTCAAACACCAGTCAGAGGCGCTTTCAAGCGGCTTTAGCGCAGTGTCAGATGGCGACTGCACAGGGAAGGCACGCGCGACGGCGTCCATATGTCTACCGAGGCTATGACGGCACTCCTCTGTAAAGCACACACCAGCAGCGGCGAGTTGCGCGCAGCCGTGGCCGAGTGCGAGAGAGGTGACGGCTCCGGTGCGTGACACCACTGAGCGTCTGCGCGTGGCACCACTGAGGGTTGCACCGCCACCCAGTGGACATTCGAAGGACTAAAC